TTAAGAAAAATTTTGCTTCTGTGCCTACTCTGTTAACAGAAATCCCCTTTAAAAAAAAGTTTGATAGGTGACACCAGCTTGCATAGATAGGATAATCTGGAAGACATATTCAGTTTCTGCTGCAATATTTGCTACATGAAAATTGAAATTTCGCAATGAATAAACTGAAGTCATGTCTTTTAAGTATAATTATCGTCACACACCATATAATTGTCTTCGCCAATCATCTCTACCAATCACTAAATGAGCAGTGAGGTTTTAAGGAGACGTTGCTGCATCTGTGGTATCCTTTTATCAAACATACTATCGTGTTTAAGGCATACAATACAACATGTACAAACTAATTAAGGATATTCCTTATAAAGAAGGGATATTTCACACAACCTGCAGCATAAAAATAATTTGGATATGACATACATTTCTAATTATGTCTGATGACATTATGTTTTTAGTAGTACTTCTTTTTCTTCCTTTTGTTCTTAACGAACTTTGTGTAGATAAGAACTTTTATCTTTTGAAACTGGGTTATGTTATTTGGCATGCAGGTGTATCACCATAAGCCGATTTGTCGCATATCGTCATGCTCATCATGTTATCGTTAACATGGGCTGTTGATATTTAGCACATTGGTACAGCACATGAAATTGTCTTGATCAGATTTTTGGTGGAAGAAGACTTTGAAGTCTTCTGAAACCTTATACTGCCGACTGTCAAATCATTGAACCGTCACCAGGAGTGTTGCCGTATTCTTTTCCGTTCTTTACTATTTCATAACTTCCGTTCCATATCTTGACACCGATGTTTTAATACACATGATCGGTTTCAACAGTTCAAGTTTGTCAAATATCATCTGCATCATTGTATAAACCAAATGTACAGTAAGACTTGAAAAACAAACACTATCGTTAGTGTTATAATTTCTCAATCATGTTTTTATATCTGCCTTTTTATTATGTCAATTATAAGGTTTCATCTCATTTTACATGTACGTTAATTATTATTTACTTGTAACCGGAGGTTTTTAAAGTAGATTTGGTAGTACGCATGCGTTAATTTAATTATTATCAGAAACTAAGTCGAATGATTCAGCGCCCTCAATCCACCGCCGTTTCTCGTTGGAGTAATCGGAATTAAACAACTTGATTATTCGGGTTAATCCAAACCACGTTGGTTTCGTATCTGCGCATGTACATAAATGGGAAATTTAATTGTGCATCCAAAAGTTTCAAAATAATGATAAACAGAATTTTCATTAATTCAAACAATGCATCTTATGTTAATTTCAAGTATCTACGAGGAACGACTTCAACTCAATGATGCTTGACAAAAATACGCGGATTTAGTTGTTCCGTCTGTGTTTAGATCTTTAACGCAACCAAGGCATATTCCGGTTTTAGAAAACATGCGTTTTTTTTAAAACGAAAGTTAGAATATTTTAGTATGTTATTGCGATAATAAAAAGTCAAAAGCACACGTAAATCTGCTGGTGCTTTTCGCTTCAAACAATGCACTGTCAGTTTTATCAATGTACGAACTAATGTCAGTTGACGGAATCAATATCAAAAGTACGCAGATTTTATGTCAATCATTGTCGGAATGTCCCCAATGATTACCTTCATTGCCTTACGTTTCAAAGTTTTAAGTGATCAAAAACGGGATTTAACATATAAATTGTACAGCTTTTTACCGTTATTAGTCATGAAAGTACTCCCATTACGACCCTCGAGTATGGAACCAATAATTCGTTGCCGTCAATCATTCATGAAACATTTCAGAAAATGACCGTTTGACACCTAACGGAAAAGAGCATTCCTTCCCTCGTAATTTTGTGTAAAAATATTAGCCATGTTAGATGAAAAACAAATATTATTAACAACAGAAAATTAGTGGTTCTATCTACTTTTACAGAAAAATGTTCAAGTGAAACCTAATCAATTACTAGTATAATTGCTTGCATCAAGTTGACCATGCTGAGACGAATGTATGGAATTATAGAACATTTATTGAATCTATAGTATTGGTAGATTTTTTAGTTTAATATAGTCAGTTTTGGTTGAGACATGAGTATTATTAAAGAATATTATTTTTGGAAGAAAAAAATACGTCGAAAGCAATAATGAGACAGAGCAGGCTGGGTTGGTGTGGGCTGCTTTCACTGTAATTCAAGTTACCGTGAGATGCACATTCTTCCACCTCAGAGCTATCAGCTCTTTGATTCTTGTTCATTATTGATTTTGACACCTGGGTACATTACCTGTCTCTTTCATTCCATTACTTGTTAAATATTTTGATAACGGTTCATGTTCCCTACCCTTAACAATATATTTTTCTAAATTGTCATGGCAAAACTGGTACAAATTTTGTCCATTGGGGATCATGACATAGGCCTTTAATCGTAAAAGGTTAAATATATCAAACACTGTTTAAATTTCCAGACTTATAAGTATATATATTCTAACCTGTCATGACGAGGCCTTTTAAGTGTATCATACATAGTTTTTGTCTGAAAAAGGAGATTTGAGGTATTTAGGATTCTCACCCATTAACCATATATACTAGTATACAAATGAATTTGCTATGCTCATTGTTTATGTACAAACCTATTGTCGAAGAAGGGACCATCTCCATATTAATTATTAGCCACCTCTCTTCCAAATGAGCTATGAAGTACTACATTGGAGAATGTTAACGGATGACATATATAAATATACTAGGTTAAAGGATGGGCGGATACGATATTACGAACATTCCTGCGTTACTGCAGTAAAATATTCCAGGAACGTTGGAAGCCAAAAGTTTTTGAAAACGTCACAGATGTATAACGAACGTGAATGTGATCTGTATATATAGTTTTCTCGTTTGAATTGTTTTACATTGTCATTTCGGGGCCTTTTATAGCTGACTGTGCGGTATGGGCTTTGCTCATTGTTGAAGGCCGTACGGTGACCTATAGTTGTTAATTTCTGTGACATTTGGTCTCTTGTGGAGTGATGTCTCATTGGCAATCATACCACATCTTCTTTTTTATACTTACGTCAAAGCTTATTTCGTCGTAATGAATCCTCAAAATATTGAAATTTCAATCTTTTTAATTACCTTCTTTTATGGAATTCCTAATAGTCTGCAGATTGAAAAATCATTTTGAAAATATGATTTAATAATGATTTCATATGATTGATTGATTGATTTTGTCTCGCCTTGACGGAGTCAAAAAGCGAGACATAGGTATGCTGTTTCCGGCGTCGTCGTCGGCGGCGGCGTCAACAATGTATTAGTTTGTGATTAGGTCTAGTTCATGGTGAATCACTAGTGGTAGGTCAATGATATTTGGTATGCAGTTGTATTAGCATTGGCACATCTCATTACCATGGAGATTATTTGGCCCCGCCCCCTCAGTCAAGGTCTATAGACTTTGAAAATTTTGCTAAGTTTACATGTATTAGTTTGTGATTAGGTCAATTTATGGGGAACCACTAGTGGTAGGTCAATGATATTTGGTATGCAGTTGTATAAGCATTGGTATATCTCATTTCCATGGATATTATTTGGCTCCGCCCCCTTAGTCATGGTCTATAGACTTTGAAAAGTTAACATGTATTAGTTTGTGATTAGGTCAGTTCAAGGGGAACCATTAGTGGTAGGCCAATGTTGATTGGTGTTCAGTTGTATAAGCATTAGCACATCTCATTTCCATGGATAATATTTGGCCCCGCCCCCTCAGTCATGGTCAATTTAATTGTAAACTTTTGCTTAGTTTACATGTATTAGTTTGTGATTAGATCAGTTGAAGATGAACTGTTAATGTTAAGTCAATGATATTTGGTATGCAAATTTATTATAAAGCTCCAACCCTGATCATGGTGCATTGACTTTGAAACTTTTACATAGTTTACAAGTTAATGTTTGTGTTTAGGTTTGTTTTAAAGGGAACGACTTATAATAAGTCAATGGTATTTGGTATGCAGTTGTATTAGCATTGGCACATCTCATTCCATGGATATTGTTTAGCCATGTACCTTCAGTCATGGTTCATCGACTTTGAATATTTGCATAACTTACATGTTAAAGTATTGCTATTTTAATTTCAACATTTGCATTATCAAAATTACAATAAGGCGAGACTTATCTCTGTGATAACAGTTTATCTTGCTGAACGTCGATCAACAAAAATGTTTTGCATATCTAGGACGAGAACAAATAAACATATAATGCAATAAGTAGATTCTACAAATAGGTCGACCAGGAGGAGGGTGGAGAATATTTACTATCACTGGAATATGAGGTCTGAATCATAGTTTTTTGCAATGGTTATTTAACATGCAAAGTCCTTTGAAACGATCTTTTAAAATAATGGATTGAAGACGTTTTCAAAAACATGAGGCTTATAATTTAATACGTCAGACGCGTGATTTGTCACTGTTAGATTCATCAGTAAAACAGTTGGAAAAACAAATCAGTTACGATGTTAAGGAGAACTGAGCACGAAAAAAATTATGCTAAATCTTGCTAAGGCCATCTATACATGGAGTTTAAATGATTCCAATTTTATGAAAAACAAAAGAAAATCACCGCACCATTGATATTTTATGTCAGCACATAAATGCTAGCCTTGATACATTCACGTGTAATAAATCGTTGTTGTGTGAATTATTTTTTTTCTGCCAGGACATGATTTTTTATCAGACAACTTGACGATATGAAAGGGTATTTTTGATAATTTTCATACCCCTGCTTCAAAGAAAGGGGAATACTGCTTCCGTCCTATATAATATTCGTCGGATTTTTCTCGGGAACTCATTATCACTGCTTCTTGAAATTTTGTATTATGTCTTATGTAGGAATGCTATACTATCTGATTCGTGTAAAGTCATCGCTCTTTCATTCTTTTTAACGAATACTTATATGATCTTATAGCGGTCGATATCAATAGTTAACAATAGCTCACAATTCATATTGTACATCAAATCTATGCGCTCACTGAAGTGCTCTTAACGTTTCAGGTGAAAAGAAATCTTTGGCATTGGAAAGATACAGATTCGGAATAAAAAGGACTTAAACATGGATTCGATAGACAGAAATGCAATCAACATCAGTATAAAAGAAGAAAATGTCGATCATAGTAACGATTTAGGATATGGAACTACTTCCGAAAAAACCAAGCATTCAGATACTGAGATTATAAGACCTTTGCATCTTTTTTCTCATAATGATGCACTCAATCTCGTGCGATCTAACGATATATTAAACAACTCATCTACATTAATTGGTAATTATGTAAATCAAGGAAATACAGGTAAAATAAAAATCAAAACTGAACCAAATAGTGATGTTATATCTAAAAATATTGAAAAGGAGAGTAATGTTTACAATAATCAGAACAATAAACTTGAGGAGAAAATTTCAAATGTAAAAGCACCATTAATATCTACTGAGGATACCCCAACTGATACGAAAACAACAGATTTGTTTCAGGACCTTTCTGTATCTAGATATGATGAGCAAAACAAAGGAGAAAAATGTAACATCCAACATTCTTCTGGTTCAACATCTAACGTAGTTCTGGAGTTTTGGGAGGTCGACAAATCAGAAATGTCGTGCAATGTTGTGAATAGTTCATCACAGCTCACAGTATACAAAGTGAATGAAAATGAGACCAGCCCTGAAACAAAACAGAAAGACAATGTAACATCACCATTGGATATTTTAAAATGTTTTAGGACAAATTTAAAACAAAGTGCACAATCATTGATTGAGGAAAACACAGGAAATAATGAAATGCGTCAAAGATGTCTTAGTTCTAAAGGATCGGATCAAATACCTTTGACACCGGATACATGTAACTCAGAAATATTGAAAAATACTACTGGGAAGCTTTTGTCGGAAAAGTCACTACCATCAATTCTTAAACATCGACGAAAAGTCAATATAGTATATAAGAACATATCGGAACCAACTCAAACCAAGGTACCGAAGTGTTGTTCTGCCCCAAGGAAAATAAAACCAATCACGAAAGTAGAACAGCGGTTTTTACAAGATGGTTTAGGAAAAGTTCAAAATGACCAAGTAATTGATAATGTATTATTAGATAACGTTAATAGAAGCGCTTTCAACCAAGTAGCAAACCAACAAACTTCACTGGATCCTTCTGTCCTATGCCCTGAACGGATCGCAATGTACTCAGAAAGTATTGATCATGATACTCCAAGGATAATACAACAAAATGATATAGAACCAAAAAGTCCCAAAAACACTAGAATTGTATATGTCAAAAATAGTGTAGACAAGAGGTATATGGAAGATAATAATAAAAGAAAGGATTCACAACTTGTGCGTCCAGAATTTGTAAAATTACCGTCTCGGATACCTGATCATAGAAAGAAGAACCTCATGAGCATACTACTTAAACCAGTTCCAAATGTCTTACCCAAAAATGCACCAGCTAATGCAAGTAAAACAACTCTTCCTGTTCAAAATTTACCAACAGCACCTGCAACTGACATGGTGAGTTTAATAAACAATCCCCCTCAGTATTCGAATCCAGACAAAGACGCTGCAAAACAAGATGCAAACCAGTCTTCATTACAGTTTTTACCGACTGTCTCATGCCCTGAACGAATCGAAATGTACTCAGAAAGTTTTGATCATGATTCTCCAAGGCTACTACAACAAAATGATGTAGGATTAAAAGGTTCCAAAACCACTAGAATTGTATATGTCAAAAATTGTGCAGACAAGAGGTATATTCAAGACAAAAATGAAAGAAAGGATTCACAACTTGTGCGTTCAGAATTAATAAAATTACCGCCTCAGATACCTGATTATAGAAAGAAGAACATCATGAGCATACTACCTAAACCAGTTCCAAATGTCCTACCCGAAAATGCACCAGCTAATGCAAATAAAACAACTCTTCCTGTTCAAAATTTACCAACAGCACCTGCAACTGACATGGTGAGTTCAATGAACAATTCCCCGCAGTATTCGAATCCAGACAAAGGCTCTGCAAAACAAGATGCAAACCAGTCTTCATTACAATTTTTGCCGACAGCTTTATCACACAGCTCACTTCAGAATAGTATAGTTCTTTTGGGTCAAAACCAATCATACAGTATTTTACCAGACAATTTAATTACTACAATGCAGCCGATTACTTATATTCCCTTGATTGTCCCACTAGAATCTATCCCGCTGGAATCAGCATTAACTCCGCTACCTCTCGGCAGTAAGCCATTTCCGGTATCGTCTGCTCACTCAAATCCGGTAACATTTTCTAGCGAAAACTTGCAACAAATAGCAGTTGAACAAAGGTTGAATACTTCATCAGATGTTATTGTAGTAGGACGTTCACCCGTTAACCAAACTATTCATCACAATTCGATTAATAGCTCAGGAAATTTATCAAATACAGTAGGCTTACAACCAAATTTGTCTTTTTCTTCACTTGGTAATAGCGTCCAACGCAACATTTATCTAAAACTCCGTCATTTCAGGTATCACATGGGAACATGGCACACACGCTTTCTTTTGATGCAAATGACCATAAACATTCACTACCAAATGACAATTCTTCACTCACATCAGAAAATCGACAATTATTAAATTACCAGTTGGCACAAGGTTTGACAGGACGATCAGAAAACAATTCCAATCAGTTACCATTGGAAGAGAGTTTTGATGCACAAATAAAGTGTGAAGCAAAACATTCACCTTTGGATTTCACGCTAAATGATACAGTAACAGAGTCTTCCACTCACTCTTCAACATTTAAAGCAGGCATGAATACACCAGAAGAAAGAATTGACGATATAAGCTTAGACGAACTTATTGGAACTCCGCAACACGTTAACTATGAAACTCTACAAAAGTTGAAAAACAATGTAATACAAGAGCAACTGTTACGACCGAAAATAAATTGGAAAAATCTGAGGCGTCCAAAATATTTAGGAAATAGATGGAAACGGAAATGGCCTTCATCATATCGCCTGTCTTGGAAGAAACGAAAGTACACAATAACTAAACCACTTGTTTTAGATAGATTAATAACAAACCCACTTGTTTTGAATAGATCAAAGAGATGTTGTGCTGATTGGTATAAAGCTCCCATGCCGTCAAATGTTTTCCATAATGGTACTGAAGTGGAGTCACCTGATTTGAATATTGTAGTAGAATCAGTGTATTCATTATCTAATGTCTCTAATGGAACTGACAAAGCAAATGACGACCTTTTACACTGTAAATGGTTTTTGAAAAGACAACGTTCATATTTTATAAATAAGTTTAAACGGAATATGAAATTGTTTGGCATTAGAAATTGTAAAGAATTTATAGACCCGAAATAAAGTGCTCCATGTTTTGTTGTTCTGGATTCATTAAGAAACTGTCGGAAGACAACATTAGGAAACTGTCGGAAGAAAACAAAGATATATACAAAGAAAATTCAGGCATGCACGCGACAATGCAGAGACAAGGTCGTAGCCGATTTCTGCTATAAAATATCCAAAGGAAAGATTATGAGGCATTACAAGCAAGAAATGGAACGGAACGAAAATGATAATGTGTGAACCAGATATATGACTGTGATAAAAGAGGATCGACAGATCTTGATATTATTACAGATGAGATTATGACATTATTAAAAAATGTTTTGTTCGTAAATATGGTTTATAACTCAACAGGACAGACAAGTACACCGCTGCTAACAGATATCAAGGACCTGATTCAGTTGTTTTCGAGAATAGTGGAGACAAATGATAATGAGTTCAGGCAAGCGAAAATCGCGAATAACTCAATACTTGTAAATGCTTCAGAATTGGAAAGTGGTAATGTATCGGCGATTGTAAATGAGAAATTAAGACAAGAACGCAAAATAGAAGCTTTGCAGTTTCGAAATTCTGAATCAAATACGCCACCGCCAGATTTAATTTTTATACGACCTTTTGACTTTTTCGTCGTCCGAAGACGCATTTGGTTTCCGGATAATAACTTTAGTTTTATAAAAGATAACAGTTGTTAACAAATGAAAATAACACTTTGTAAGTTTCGTTCGTCCAAAGCGCATTTTTATACGACCGTAAAAAAGTTTTTGGGTGGATTTTTTTTTCATAAATGTTTTGTTTTTTTTCCCAAAAAAATCTTCGATTTTTACATTGATTATTTCTGATTTATATATAAAAGCAACAAATACTGATATGGCAAGTAATACACTCCAAACATGTTGTGTAAATTATTATTTATAACAGATTAACTAAGTATTGCACAATAGCACGGTATTGAGCAATAGCAAGAAATCTTCAATTTGAAAATAAATACAAACCTTTTAACCAATTTCAGTGGAATTAATTTTAAGTGTTTAATTTTTGGGGGTTCTAACCTTGTATTACTAATTTGGGTATTGGGCCCCAGTTTTAAATTGGTCTACATTGAGGTCCAAAGGGTCCAAAATTAAACTTTGTTTAATTTCACCAAAAACTGAATTATTGCGGCTCTATGATATGCTGAATCTTATTGTGCATTTAGAATTTTTTTTGGGCCCTGTTTTCAAAATAGTCCATATTAAGGTTTGAAGGGTCCAAAATTAAACTTTGTTTGATTTCAACTTAAATTAAATTTTTGGTGTGTTTTATGTGCTGAATCTAATCATGTTCTAAGATTTTGGATATCAGTCCAAACTAGGTAAATTAAATGTCTCATTTCAAATTTTTAAGATCTTTGACCACATTATTTTTTGTCAGAAACGTATATTATGTCAAAATTTTGATCACAATCCAAATTCAGACACTATCAAACTTGAATATTGTGTCCAAACTTGCCCCATCTATTCAGGGTTCGACCTCTGCGGTCGTATCAGGCTGCCCTCGGCGAAGCATTTTATTAATTTATCGGATGATTTATCTGTAATTTTATCAGAATCGTCTGACGTTGAAAACGAAACGGATGAAATAAAGGCGAAGAATGTGAAAGTAGCAACAACAATGATGATAATGACCTCACTGCCTTAATTGCGAAGTACGGATACACAGAAGAAGTTCGAGTCCCTGGTCAGACGTGTTTAGTGTTGATTATCGCAACGCATCAGTGGAGACAGCTGCTAACATCGATTCGCCATGTGCAAATGAACACACAATTTGTCTGCAATTTCAAATACTAATTAAAAAAACAGAACGTTACAAAAACAACACCGAGGAGGAACGTTAAAATGGTTTTCAATTTGACACTCTAATCAGACAACGAAGGATAGAACCTTCATATAATTTGCGAAAGAGAGCTCATAAGGAAATGTGTAAGTATGACTCGAACAGCACACTTTCGTCTTGTTCTGAAGAAGATCTGTCGGAAGACACATCCAATGTTTAGATCTCTATTACCGAAAGCATTATGCAACACTTACAATTAATGGAAGGACTAACTTTCCGACAGCATGCAACATTATCCTACAGTTGAAATAGTTGTCCCGATCCGGAAGCTACAAGAATTTAAAAGCATGAAGTCTTAACGGAATGTTAAATCAAATTTCTTATAAACATAAGAAAAAAAAGTAAGGGAGCTATCCGATCAGAATCAAATTGATAGCTCAGTTATAGATATTGAGATAGTTAATGACGTAGCTGACAATCGCAACGGGAAACCCTTGTCCACAAATGATGTAGGTACGTTCAAGGATGTAACCGATCGGTTGGTCACGGATATTTTCCAAGAATCACAGACAATGGGTTAAGAATTTTCGACAGAAAGCAATTTGGAGACGATCAGTCTAGAAGATGAAAATGAAAGTGAAAAAGATGACAACTAAAATATTGTTAAGTTACAATTGATACGATTATTTCATCGTAGAAAAGCAATGTTTTAGAAAAAAAAATCGACAAGTCACTACTTCAAATAGTTTTATATATTTGATTAACGTAAGACCTGCTAGACGTAAACCTTATGCAGGAGAAATATTACCGGAGAAACACTACAATTATTTAGTATTACCGAAAAAACGGGAAAATTTGAAAAAGATTGAACAATGTATAATATATTTTTGAATAAATTGTTGAATTTCAATTTTTCTGTCAGAAAAAAATTTTGTTATGACATAATTGACTTTTAATGATATATTTTTATGTCTGGCGTAATCTCAGCATTATTTTAAGAACTTACTTTGTCAGTAAACATGGTAAAACACATATATACTGTAAATTCAGAAATTATTGCGTGCATTTATTATTGGGAATTTAGAAGAACAAACTAAAGTGCGAGATTAATTATTGCGAATTTAGGAAAATGTGTATGCAGTTATATTAATAAGGTATCAGAGTGCGAGTTCTTATTATTGCGATACCCATTCAGTCGCATTATTCGCATTAATAAAAACTTACTTTTCTGAATTTACAGTACTTTTCTTCGGTAATGCTCCATGAATTTTAGAATTAAGAAGTAAAAAAAATGTGTCCCCATAAATATTCTGAAAACCATCATGACCATGCTTGAATGTTTGAATGCGAATACTGTACAGTTTAATCGACCATTATAAGAACGAGACAAAACTAGAAGCAACATGATAGCTGCATGGATATATAACTGCAAGTCTGAGATAAGATGTATATCAATTGACAGTCCGATAGGTCAGTCATTTTGGCTTTCAAACTACTTGAGACTAAAAACGTTGTAGAACCAAATGCTGCATTGATGAAAGATAACAGTTGTTAACAAATGAAAATAACACTTTGTAATTTTCGTGCGTCACAATCGCATTTTCTGGATTTAAGTTCATCAGCATGCAGTTAGTTATGCCTTACAACATATAAGACAGTGTGAGAGCATCTCTTAATACTAGTATTAATTATCTATACAAAAATTGAATCCAGGTCAACCAAATTGTTATATTACGTGTCATGGCGGTCAGCATTTATCAGAGGAAGCCAGAGTACCAGAGAGAATCACCGGCCTTTGGCAGGAAACTAATACAAGAAATTGACATGCCATATTTTATAACGATTTCTATGGCTTTTTTTTCGGACTGAGGGCAATATAGGTCAACCTTTTTTAATTTTTAAAATGGCTGTGTAAGTTGTACACGCCAGTCTAACAGAAATTACATGAGCTGGATCTTTTTTTCAAAGAGATCGACTGAAGTCGACTTTACATTATTTTTACAGTCACCATCACAACTTGGTTGCCCAAAATGATGTCTCGGTACCTCAGTTTAGTGATGACATGTTTTTAGTGGTCTTAGACTTTCAGATACCAGTAAAGTCGTCTAATCTGTAATTTTACCGATTGTGTACTATTATAGATTTTGACATTTTGACCGAGTGTTAATTTGCATGGCGAGTGATGCATGCATTGCAGGAGACGTCTCTCTCATCTTGGAGTTCATGCGAATTCCTCAGTTTTTATTGGTTACCTTGATTTGTCTCTTTTTAATCGATTTACGTGATCTAAACATTGGTACTACTATCGCCTTAATTTACATTGAGTAATAGCTTATCTGTAATTTGTATACTGTTGTTGCAAGGACTACATGTCTGACCGATGTCATTAGACCCTGACCTCATATTTATTGTTCAGCGATCAATATTGATATAATTATTAGACCATTTTCGCAGTTTATACAAGAAGAATGTCAGTTTATATAGTCCGTATAATCACTGTTCGTTTGCGAATTATGTTCCCCTGTCCAAATTTAAATATTCGAAGAACAACGTTAAGTTTCCTCGCCTATGTCATTTTGTTAGTTACTAGGAGATTAAGGACAATTGTATTTGGTATACACAATAAATAAAACATTACATGTTTTTGACGGGTCAAATCAACTGTTCTATCCATTACAACCATAAAACTACACTTAACGAGATTGAAAGAATGATTTGAAATTGGGTTTTTTTTTTTGGCAATTTTTCCTTAGACTTCTACCTCAACATTGTCAATAACACTTCCCTGCGAAATTTGTTATCCAAAGGTCCGAAATATCGTGAGCCTAAATCCATCAATTGGAAATACAACTTCAAAATACTGATGGATTCAGTCGAGGATTATGCCAGGCAATGGGCTAAATACCCACGCTACGTCAAATTTTAAAGATCCAAATGTTGCAAAGCACTTGTCCTACCTCCATGACAAATATGTTGTTGTCCCCGCAGATAAAGCCCCAAACAACATCGTTTTTGTGTGTAAATATCATTACATAAACTGCTTGATAAATGAATTAGGTATTGACAATTCATTTGGAAACCTAACATATACCCTCACGACACTTACCAAGGAGGAAATCCTGGATAATCATAGGTCTGTTCTATGTTCCTTTGGAATTTCAACCAAAGATGAAGAACTAGATCTTCCATCACTGTATTGGATACCTAAACTACATAAGTGTCCTGACAAACAACGGTATATTGCTGGGTCTTCCAAGTGCTCCACGAAACCTCTTTCTAAATTATTAACATCTATTTTATCAGCAATCAAAGCCGGGATCCAAAGTTATTGTGAAACTGCCTATTCTAGAGGTGGCGTGAATCAAATATGGATACTAAAAAATTCCAAAGATCTTTTAGAGTTCATACAATCTAAGACTCTGTCATCTTGCAATAGTATTAAAACATTTGATTTTTCTACACTTTACACAAGTATCCCCCATTCCAAACTAAAAGACAAATTGAAAGAGTTGGTATTACTTTGTTTCATTAAAAAGAATGGCGAACGTAGATACAAGTATCATGTCTTGGGGAGGGATTAATCCTACTTTGTAAAGAATCACTCTGATTCAAACAAAAAATTCTCTGAAACTGACATTATCAAGATGCTTGATTTCTTGATTGACAACATATTTGTTACGTTTGGAGGACGTGTTTTTCAACAGACTGTCGGAATTCCAATGGGAACCAATTGTGCCCCTCTTCTTGCCGACTTTTTTCTTTGTTATTATTAGGCTGACTTCATACAGGAACTTCTTAGGAAGAAAGATAAGAAGTTAGCAATATCCTTTAACTTTACGATCCGCTATATAGACGATGTTCTCTCACTAAATAATACAAAATTTGGTGACTATGTTGAACGAATCTATCCCATCGAACTAGAGATAAAGGATACTACAGATACAGTTAAGTCTGTCTCACAAGGAAGCTATTAAACCAAGAGTTCCAAATGGGGAAGTTGAAATCATCCCTTCGTAAATTTTACGGACGCCATCACGTGTTGGTTGACCGTTTCACAGATGATATCGGATATGTTCCTTATGTCGTAACTACAATATCCTTCCCTTTTCACGAATGTGACCTACCGAATTAGACTATTTACCGGATTTGTAATAACATAAGCAATACGACGGATGCCACATGTGGAGCAGGATCTGCTTACCCTTCCGGAGCACCTGAGATCACCCCCAGTTTTTGGTGGGAGTTCGTGTTGCCTGGTCTTTAGTTTTCTATTTTGTGTCATCTGTACTATTATTTGTCTGTTTGTCTTTTTATTTTTGGCCATGGCGTTGTCGGTTTGTTTTCGATCTATGAGTTTGACTGTCCCTCTGGTATCTTTCGTCCCTCTTCTACAGTAAACCCCTATGTTCTATTTTTAGACATGAGGCCATGTTGGTTGGATGGCAGAGTCATCGGATACATTTTTCAATCAAGATACCCTATGGAAAATTGTGGCTAAGTTTAATTCTATTTGGCCCAGTAGATTAAGTGGAGAAGGTTATTGTAAAAGATTACAAAAATTTACGAAAAAATTGACTATAAAGGGCAATAACTCCTTATGGGGTCAATTGACAATTTTGGTCATATTGACTTATTTGTAGATCGTACTTTGCTGAACATTATTGCTGTTACAGTTTATTTCTATCTATAATAACATTTAAGATAATAACCAAAAAGCTGCAAAATTTCCTTCAAACTACCAATTCAGGGGCAGCAACCCAACAACGGTTTGTCTGATTCGTCTGAACATTTCAGTTCAGATAAATCTAAATCTGATGAACATTTATATTTAATGTCAGATTTCCTCTAAATGCTTTAGTTTCAGAGATATAAGCTAAAAACTGCATTTTACCCCTATGTTCTATTTAGCCATGTTGGCCATGTTGGTTGGCAGGCGAGGTCATCGGACACATTTTTAAACTAGATACCCTTATGATGATTATGGCCAAGTTTGGTAAAATTTGTCACCGTAGTTTCAGAGGAGAAGATTTTTGTAAAGGTTACAAAAAATTACGTAAAATTGTTAAAAATTGACTATAAAGGACAATAACTCCTTAATGGATCAATTGACAATTTTGGCCATGTTGACTCATTTGTAGATCTTACTTTGCTGAACATAATTGCCGTTTACAGTTTATTTCTATCTATAATAATATTCAAGATAACAACCAAAAACTGCAAAGTCTTTTAAATTACCAATTGAGGGGCAGCAACCCAACAATGGTTTGTCTGATTCGTATGAAAATTTCAGGGCGGACAGATCTCAACTTGATAAACAGTTTTACTTCATGTCAGATTTCCTCTAAATGCTTTAGTTTCAGAGATATATGCCAAAAACTGCATTTTACCCCCTATGTCCTATTTTTGACCATGTTGTTTGGCAGGCAGGGTCATCGGACACATTTTTATACGACCGCAAACAATTTTTGCGGTCGTATATTGGTATGACGTTGGCTTCGTCGTCGTCGTCGTCGTTGTCGTCGTCGTCGTCGTCCGAAGACACATTGGTTTTTGCACTATAACTTTAGTTTAAGTGAATGGATCTGTATGAAATTTTACCATAAGGTTAAATACCACAAAAGGAAGGTTGGGATTGATTTTGATGGTTATGGTACCAACACTTAAGGAATTAGGGGCCAAAAATAAGCATTTTCTAGTTTCCAGACAATAACTTGTGGAACGGTGTATGGATCTCTCTGAAATTATACCACAAGTTTCCATACCACAAAGGGATGGTTAGGATTTGCTTTGGGGGGTTATGGCTCAAACCGTTTAGGAATTAGGGGCAAAAAAGGGAGAAAACAAGGTTGTCTTGGTTAATGGACAAATACTTTAGTACAAAACATAATTTAAAGCAGTGTAAGGGAGATC